GGTTCGCGTCCCATAACAATGAGGAGAGAAATATATCAAAGAGAGGCGAAGGCCACTTCAAACACGAAACGAACATAAAGACAACACAAAATAAGAGAAGTATCCAAGACTAAAGGAGCAAAACACATCTTGCCAGAGGTCCATAGAATAGGCTGGGGTAAAGCGGAAACTGTAGACAGACAGAGAGAAAACACAAAATCATAAGAAGAAAAAAAAAGTACATAAGGTTCTCAGGCAATAAAGCCTAGACTTAGGCACCATACGATTCCTGCTGTGGGGGGACGTAACCTTATGTCTGACATGTACAGTTAACTAGTAACAGAAATTCGTACGTTACCTCAGTTGTTTAGTGCAGCGGTTCCCAAACTGGGTGGCGAGTACAGAAGTAGTGCGAGGTACAAAACTCTATATATTCTATATATATTTCCCTTCCTCATGGCTGCGCCATAGCTCAAGCGGTTAGTCGCTGGCTTATCACCGCGGCGGCCGGGGTTCGATCCAGGGTCTGCTCAAGTGGGATTTGTGGTGGACAAAGCAGAGCTGGGGCAGGTTTTCTCCTAGTACTTCTGTTTCCCCTGCCAATCTTCATTCCACCAATTGCTCCACAATCACCCTCACCTATCATCTGGGGCTGGTACAACAGGCCAGAAGTGGCCGCAGTACAAGGGACTTAGTCCACCCCACTAACAATAAAAAAAAAATCCTTTTCTCATAAAATCCACGATACACAGTTTAGTTAGCATTAATCATGCAGTTCAGTATCTTAAGATTAAAAAGTCTTGGAATGTAATTATTCCACGTGTTATTTTTTATGGAACTGACCCCGACGCTCTGTTACGGACATCGGCGTGTTTGTTCGCTGCCTAAATTAAACAGGGTCAAAGAAGTGCAAACCGCAAGTGTTGAAGCTCTGATTAATACAAACTACTGTGGTCTCAGTTCGTTAGTAAATCCTGATACAGCAAAACGTGCATTGTGCAATTATGTAAGTAGGGTTTCATGGCTTATAAATCAATATAAATGTTTTGAAAGCTATATAGATTTATTGGGAGTAACCAGTTATACTGTATCTGGTTCTCCTGGAGAACATAAAAAAAGAAAGGTGAGACAATATTGTAGCGTGTAGATCCTTTGTTAGACGAAGACCACGAAACAAACAACGAGACAACAGCCGTTGCTAGGCAGCCGCCTGCGCTCCAATGGCTGAATAACCATCAACGTGGGAACCCCATGAGACATGCACGCAACAGTAAAAGAGCTGTGTTTTCTGTTGATCCGTGTCGAGGGTTATGAGCAGAACGAAGTTTAGAGCCTAGGTGAGGGAAACCCAGAGGGACGAGTCGCGAGTGAAGGCGAGCCAGGAGTCACTGGAGGCCAGGGGTAGTGAGAGGCAGAGTTAGTTCAGTGAGTTATAGTCGATTGTCGATAGGTCGAGCTGTTAAGAAGCAACGGCTAGTAAAATGTTAGAGCTTGTACTCATAGGATTTATAGAGTGTGAAGGTTATTGAAAGTGTCATAAGTTCACAGTTAGAGAGTAAGGTCTCGATTGAATTTAGTGATATGAACGATACGAGCGCTCCACAGAGTTGTCTTCACGGTCTTCACTTTACGTAGTGTGTTCACGGCCAACTCACGTTTAGCGAAGGTGGTATCGGTGAAACTTCACGCCCGACTGCGGTTGGGCGCAGTGATGTGCGAAACATCAAAACAAGCGGTGAACTTGAGCGTACACCAAGATGGCGGGCGTCCCAGTACCGAGATTCCGAAAATACCGAATATAGAAGACAGCTTCGATGAAATCTGAATCTCATGCCATCATGAACAAATGCCCAGAAGCAGCTTCTGTGGTACAAGTGTATAAAATACTCAGTGACATTGAGATCCTTGCCGGATGCACACTGGCTAAAGTGGGGGAAACCTCTGAGTGGAACTTTATTATGAAGATCGCGAAGGAGAACATATCAAACTTTTGTAAATGTCTATATGGAAGCCGATTTTTAGCGCCATTTTTATGGCATAGACACGGTAACACTGAAAGAAATGAAGGCCGTTCTGAAGGTAAGTGCACAGGTAAGATAAAGGGGTGCAGTGAACAAAACTTCAGTTGAATCAGCGGTCTAGGGTGACGAACTACAGGAAATAAAGAGACGCATGAGGCATGTTTCTAATGATAGCTCATAGACAGCCAAGAAGTCAACTAAGCCATCCACAGCTTACAAGCTGCCTACAAAATCAGTATTAAGTGGCAAATTCTTTGCACCTCACAGAATTACTAACCTGGATACGGAGACTGTTGGAGCAGAGAACATAATATCGGAGCAGGAGGCTCCCAGAAAATCAGGCAGTGCGCCACCAATAGTGATGACTTCTCCCACAAATCAATTTCGACTCCAAAATGACGCACGAGAACACGTCAAAGGAGGGTGCAGGTTCCCAAATGCACGAAATGGAACCTGCGCCATAACAAAACAAAAGGCGGACTATCCAACCACGAAATCGAATCTGGAGAAGAATATACTCCCCAAATACCGAAAACCTTATCAATGTAGTAATCCGTCACCTTCTCCCAGAGACACCAACGGAAGATATTTCCAACAGCCTTGAAGACTTAGGCTTCAAAGTCATCAATGTTAAGCAAATGGTGACCACCCGGAGAGCATCCAATGGACAAGCCCACGTGGAACTCCTCCCTCTATTCCTTGTTACCATAAAAAGAAACATAAAATCTCAAAATATATTAAAGCTGAAGAGCCTTAACCATATTATTGCCAAGGTAAAGTTATGCAGAGCTCAAACTGGCCTTACGCAGTGCTACAAGTACCTAAACTTAGGACACGTCTGGACCAATTGCAAGCAGCCTCCTGGATGTTTGTGATGCGATAGTGACCATATGCACAGGGAATGCCCTCAGAAGACGAATACAGAATCTACGCCGAGCTGCTGTAAGTGCACCCTAGCAGAACCACAGAAACCTCATCCAGTGTCATGTGAATAGGAGTTGCAAAGGAGAAGAGCATAACGAGTTCTCAAGGTCTCCTCTGAGAGAAAGTTCTTCTCTACGTTCACCTCACTAGAGCAGTCCTATGTAGCAGCACTTCGTCAAGACACGAAACAGTGGCAACCACAGGCACTGCAGACATATGGGAAAAGCTTACCCCCTCACCCTTTGCAGCAGCTGCCAAACAGGAGACCATACACGCTCCCAGTTTGTCTAACGATAACATATTAAAATTCTACATTCTAATGCCACAGACCATCACAGAGCTCAGTGAAGCTGTATCAAATAAAAATGATGGTCATTACAAAAGTGGTATTTAACTTAATGAACAAAATGGCTGTTAGACTTAATACGCCGCTTAAAGTCATAGCAATCGATGCAAACGGAGTTTTGAGGCAGCCCTATGAGCTCAGTAGACAGCCGCAAGACTTACTTATAAATGTGGCTCAGTTCTCAGGGATACATCTCAAAACCCATGAGAGGGTGTTTGTCCCAAATTACCACTTTTATGGGACTGACTGTTTCCCAGGAAGAAAAAGAGGAACTGACGTTGCAGTGAGAGAAAGAATTCCCCACGACCATGCAGACCTGCTGCCGCTTGATTCAATTAAATTCACACGGGTTTGCATACTGATGGGTAATAGTGAAGTACAACTTGCAACAGTCTATACGTCACCAGGACACGCCTGAAATGATGCAGTAATCGCTGAGTTCTTAAGCTTTAGACATACACATAAGTCGTTACTAGCAGGAGATCTGAATGCTAAACATCCATTATGGAATGGCGCAATTTCCAACCCTTCGGGCGCGAAACTACTGAATTTACTGCATATAAATGTCTTAAAGTTCATAGCCACAGTGTCCCGGTCATTACGTTCCTGCGCGAAATGGTAAAGTTTTCAAGATTGTTGTGCGCAAGAATGTCCTGCTGTCAGATGTAAATATCTCTAACATTCTGGACTCAGCTCATCTACCAATCGTTTTCTACTTGCTGGATTATGTTACAACTAGGAATCTTTCAGACCCGGTTGTCAAATTCACAGATTGCGAGAGGTTTCAAGTCCTGGCCTCTGAATTAATTTAACCAAGAATCAGAATTAACTCGTGAGGAGCCGAAAAGCAGCCAGCGACTTCACTGCCCCTATAGCTTTGGTGTAGAGGCTAACGACAAGGAAATTTACACTCTCGGGTTTTTATAAGAATCATCCTGGTTTGGAGAGTCTGCTGAAATATAAGCGGAGGTTGAGAAAACTGTGGAAAATTACCCGGGATCCAGGATGTAAAATGGCAGTTAGTTGAGTCGCAAAAAAAAATCAGACGAATGACCCGTAGAAAGGAACTCGAACCGTTGAAAACGAAATTAGAGAAATTTAAAATCAAACCTCAAGATCTGTGGCCTGTTGCGAAATCGCTTATAAAAAGGAATGGACCAAAGCACTAGCCGCTGTTCATGAACCTTTAGGAATAACATATCACCTGAACAAGAAAGCCAACGTGACTGTGGATTGTTTTGAAAACCAATTCACATCTCATAACCTGTGCGACCAAAACCATGGGGCACACCGTAGCGTAGTTGAGTGAGGCACTATGCTACAAGCCGGAAGGCAGCGAGTTCGAGCCCCGATGAGATGGAATTTTTCAGTTTACCTAATCCTTCCAGCCGCACTATGGCCCTGGGGTCGACTCAGCCTGTAACAGAAATGAACACCATGAATCTTCCTGGGGAAAGGGGTAAAGGGCGGCCGGCGCGTAAGGCTCACAACCTTACCGCCGACTGTCTAGAGAAATTGTGGACGCTTCGACGTCTCATAACCATACGGGCCTCCACGGCCTGTTACAGAGATAGATTTACCTTATAAGTGCATCAATTCCAGCGGTGACTACGTTGATACGTAGCTTACGTATGTATGTATTTTTTGTACATAATAATCTTTTTCTCGTTGCTTGTTTGTTAACAGCTCACCGCAGATTACTTTTCGAATAGTCCTCGTAGTAGAGGCCATCGATGAAGCAGCCGTTGGTATTAGGAATAAACTGGTAATGGTAACATTAAATGGCAAAATGATTGGCAGCATGCATGCAGCCTAATAGTTGTTGTTGTAATAGCCTTGAAACTTAACTGTGTTAAGCTCTTAAAATGATGACAATAACAGTGAGTTTAAAAGACCTTTTTGCAACACTACATTAAGCTAGCGTTTAACTCAGTAATGGTATCGAGTCGAACGTTAGACAGCTTTTGCTCCAAACGATCTGAAGAACACTTTCCTGAAGTTTGGCTAATACATTGCAGAACAGTCTGGATAACCTCAACTGCGAATTGAATTTCAGCTTTATGTTTATGTTATAGTTGTCGCATATGCCACATCGAATGAGATTTAAATGCAACTAGAGATGAAATGGCCACTAAAGATTTCTTATGTCTTTTTTTTCCCAGTGGAACCAATGTACGCAATGCTAATTGAACTTAACAATGGAAGAACATTGTTGATTCGACAATCGTTTACTTATCCCTTTACTTCATTACTTATTTCAATTGCAACTATATCCATTGATGCATCAGCAATCATAGACATTAACACCAATGTTCACATCATGTGTTATTATCAACACTCTCACTGAGCATGACATAGTCAATATTGATTTTCTGAGTCTCCTTCAACCCCTACAAGCAACCAACCTCTGTCGCTGATCTCTTTGATACTCTGAACCAATCATGCTTGTAACATAAATAATTACTACATCACAAAATTTTCACGCATCCATGAAGTGTTGGATCTGATGTGATATTTCTGTCAACGAACAACACGGCTGTACACACAAAGGTAACGTTGCCTCATCTGCTATACAGATCGAGACGAGTGTGTGGTTCGCATTATCCGAAATAAATTACATTATATGTGTGTGCGTGTGTTGTGCGTGTGTGTTAATACACAAAATAAAGGTAAATTAGCCCCTGTGCCTATGTATGACACCTTGAAGGCATGTAGCATTCATGGAAGCAACACTGTGCGAATTCTTAACCTTAGCATTAGATTAGCTTCATGCTCCGGTTGATTTTCCCTTACCAAAGGAAAGAACGTTTACTCATTGATTTATAAGTTGATTTATTCTTAGTTTCTTCTTGGTCTCTCCTTAGTTTCTTTAAAAGCGTTCAATCAATTGTATAATGGAAAATGGCAATATTCATACAATTATTCGAAGTGGTTATAGAAAGAAACATATTTAGAATCATTCAAAATTAATTATTTATAAGATTATTTTAATAGTTTTTGTGCGTCTGCGACTTGATTTCTAACATCCAGGAAAAGCATAATTCTGTGAAAAACCAAATCCAAATTATATTCCGCGAAAAAAATACCAAGTTACCCACAGCAGGTTGTAAAATGGAAAAACAAACTTCTCCATGCTCTTAATTATGTAATTAAGCACGATGCCATGAAGGTATATGAGGGAGTGAAGGTATAGCTACAGCACGCTGGTCCTCGACACCAGATGAAGACGAATGGTCAGGTTCACCCCTTGCTGCTTTACCCCTGAGGATATATAGTCTCCAGTACCCACAGGATATCAGGCAGGGTAGGCCCCCGTGCTGGTCTGAACGCTATGGAGAAAAAGAAATCTCTTGCCACTGCCGGGAATCGAACCCAACTCCTTGGTCGTTCAGTCCGTAGCCTAGTTGATATACCGACTGAGCTGTCTCCGATCCTACAACAGATTGTACGTATACTTATGACCATGCTGTAATGAGCTGAAATGGGCTGAACACATAAAAGGCATCAGCAAACCGAAAAATGCTTCCATGATACTGGTTTGAAAACTAACACGAAAGATCAGTATATATTGTAGGTGAAAATATTTTAATGGACTTCAGAGAACTGGACTTTCAAAATATGAATCTTGATTGAACTGGCTCAGATTATCAATGTCTTACTGCCTGGTGTGTTACGGTGTTTGTAACTCCTTCTTGTTGGAAGGTCACAGATTTAAGTCTCTGCGGAGAAAGTGATTTTCATGTTCTTTTCTGCGCCCTTTCAAGCAAATGTTGTGACAGTATCTTATAACAGGACACTACTGATTACTTCCACATTAGATCTATTCCGTCATTCAGTCACAACTACTATCAGATTTTGAACACCCTAATTATATAAGTGTGTCGTTAAATGAACTAAAAGTCGACCAGTACCATCAAATAACTTTTATGAGTTTTTTGACAAAAGTGTGCGTGTCTGTGGGCCCTTCCCCCTCCCTTCATCTCCGAAACTAATGAACACATTTGGTAAAATTTTGTATACCTGATCGGCATTAAATTTGGAAGAATTTAATTCTAGTCTGTATTTGTCCACCATTGTCCCTAATATAACGCAAAGCTAAAATTAATTTCCTCAAAACCCGCCGTCGTACAATAAATTGGAGGTGTAATTAAAGATATTTCAAAGCCTACGGCTCTATCTGAAATAGTTTTATATATGGTAACAATGAAATACGTGGGAAAACAATTTCATGCTCTGTGCATCACGCACGTATAATTAGGTTTGCAACAGTGGGGTTGTACCTGCATTGGACTCTAACTGAACATCAAGGCCAATGACATATACAAAATCTCAAATAACCTATTGTTTATAACGAAGGCGATAATTATTCTGATTCCATGACAACACGATATTCCTCAAACAACCGGATAACAATTGTACTTTCAAAGGGGACTGTTTATCCCGGAATTAGTGGGTTGCCTTTAGAAGGGTCTCTGTGTTTGCTGTAACCCAACTCTATATATGAGCATTTCAGTTATCGAAATGTTAGTCACAGATGACTACTCAAGCGGTTTGTTGCCCTGGAGCGGAAGCAGTGTAAAGCCTCTACTTGAGTGAAAGTATGGGATATGTCTTTCAGAAATGTCAGATCTACATCGAAAAGATGATTACCTCAGCGTTAACGTTTTTCACTTATAGGATTAATAGATAGATGCTGGGTTCGACACGGCCAAGAAGCCAGCTATCCTGATATGTTGGAGTTGCACTTGTTCCTTTGTTCCTTTGGCTTTTCCCTGCGAACGGAAATATTTTCTTGACATAGGCCACGACTTTTCTTCGTCGGCTTTTCCCAGTAATTGAACATGTTCCTCTGAGTTTATTCTATCTCTCCAGATAATCAGATAGTACCTTAAAACAGGTCACGACCAGTTCCTTCCACATTTTTCCAACTCATTCTCCCGTTGAGTGTTAAATAAGTTCTGCAGTTGATGCGTCGTCGGCAAACAACCTACGAACCATTTCGGCTAATCGCATCACGACACATTAGTAAGACGTGTTCATTATTTAATAAATAAAATACGATGTAAAACGTGACTTAGCATGGTCAGCATTTTTAATTTATTTAAACGACACCTCAGCTGCATACATCATGTAACGCCAAATGAGATAACTGTAAATTTAGAATTATAAATAGTGCAGAAGGTGGCGATGTCAGCACAGTTTAAGATACACTCTCAGCATATCTAGAGAACCACAGAAATAAAACAAAAAATTTGTCAGATTATGGGATTTGAGCCTTTTGGGCAAATGAATGAAGTCTTATTGGACAATTAGCTGTGTCACGAAAAAATTGAGATAATTGGGTCTTTGGCCCAAAAATCGAGCTTTGGAACTGACTAATTCAAAATAAATGAATAAATCACCACACCACGAAGTTCAATAGGCACAGCTAAACCTTTCAGAGTTTCCACAGTAAAATTAAGTATTTAGTAAGTGGAAGAATATTTGGGAGCAGCAGCATAAAATTTTCAAGAGTTAATAATGGTACTGGCTGCACTGTGGAATTCAAAACAATTACAATTTCTTCAGATGAGCATTATGTTGTACTGGCTAGAATTCCTGCTTCATATTCAGGAGGTAATAGATTCAATTTTCTGTTGTGAGAACAGATGCTTGAGGGATTTTAATGGTTTTACTCAGTCCCTCCAGTCAGACACTGGTACAGTACCTTAGACTTATATAGACAAAACTGAGATCATCCAACAACTTCAAGTGTTATTCTGAATACTAACGTTCATAAAGATCTTTAAAGTAATTTTGGAAATGAAACATCCAAATGGATGAATATGATTATCCCCTATGCATTAGCTGTATGCACTTTGTGCAAAGAATGGATGAAAAATAAATAAATTTGGCTACTCTTTCTAAAATATGATACTCTGTAGTGAAGAGAGACAATGTGTTAGTAAAGATGAAGTTACCTCCATCCATAAAATTTTATTTTCACTTCTTTGGCTGTCACATTTCTGCATGTAAAGTAAATCCATCTAGGTTAATATAATTATTATCTTAAAACTTTAAGGTGTATAATTTTGTAGAAAAACAACTAATTTTGTGGGATTAGTCAGTAGTAGCTGGCTAGAGGCTGAAATATCAGGGATTCATTTCTAGCAAGGTTATTGCTACCATGTGCAGACTATTCCTGTGGCCCCTTTCCATGTATAGAAGAGACTCTTTATTTGGGAGGAAATGGGCTAGGCTGTAATATTACACCTCCACCATAAGATGGTTAAAGTTCATAGTGGGCTGAACTGTCAGTCTCTTATTAGTACATGCATATGTATACATGTGTGCATATATGTGTATGTACTTGTATCAGTACACACTAGCAGCTGAAGGCCTTTGTATATGCACTAGTTTGAGTCTATATTTTGGAGGAATCCAGTTTAAATACTGGATGTTCTGTTCAATAGTTTTATCTGGTTTTCTCAGTCCTTCCAGGTTACAACAATGAAACTGACATCAATTAGTTCATCACCATCCCTCCTTATGCAGCATTATGTTCTCATCTCATTTGATACTGCATAACTTCTGAAACTGATAAAATGCCATTAAGTAACTTACATTGTGTAGATACATGTGATTTGTTAGAGATACATCATACATATGCCACTCTTACTCTGTAACAATGTGGGTTTTGGTGTGGCTATTGTCAGTTCATTGCCATAAGTTTACAAACTTTCAGAGTACAGTACATTCAGATGGATAGTTCCAGATATTCCAGAGATTGTTTCATCATTGAGGGTTAATAATTAGTTTTCTTCTGTGTGATCCCTGTGTTTCTTAAAACTGCCTGCAGTTTTGAGATTTGTGAGTATATTTAAGTCAATATTACAGCTTATATCATGCATAGTGATATCTGTGAGTGCACTGAAAGTTACATCAAATCGAGCAATCTTGTGAATGCACTGTAGCTCATATCAAAGCCAGTGATTTTATGAATGTACTAATAATGAATCTGCATGTGTGTTACGCTCACAGAAACACTCCAGGTATCAGTATTATTTTAGTGGATGTCTATTTATTTTGTTTTGCTGAGGAAGATAGTTGGACTTGGGAAGTAAGCAGGCAATTTATCATCTTATACAGCAAGATACTTTGATACTGAATTCCCTGAATATCAAAATCAAAAGCTCACAATAGATCAAACATAGAGTTTGAATAGGGAAGACAACAGACCAGATTGTGATGATGAAAGAAACCATTTGGAAGATTTAAACTGATCTTAGAGAAACTGATTGTGAGGATGGTAGGTGACGAAAAGTAGCCAAGGATCATATTCATTGGTGGACATTAGTAGCAGCAGTACCGTATTCACTGGCTTTACTACCAGAGGGCTATTTCAAGTCTCACTGAAAAAGGACAGGATGACAACTGATATAAAAAGATTGTTATTCTATATCAACTATTGAGATTAAGAAGCATTAAACGATACAGTAGGGTGATTATTAGTGGTGAGCCTTGGAGGAATATGAAAGGAGGCCATCATGACCTATTTTAATGTATCAGTCTGTCATTTGTCTGGGAAGAAAATAAAAGCCACATAGTGACAGGATAACAGGGTTCCTGGTTGAGATATGAATCAGATTCCTTCCAAATGTAAAATGAAAACATTTTAAGCATAAAGCATATCTTAATAATGTTTAAATATTGAGTTCCTACCTATGAGAAAATATGCTGCATCTGTCACAGAGATCAATCAACAAACAACATTAGAGAAATGACTGTTGTTCATTCTGAGAACCAAATTAAGCTCATTTTGTGGTCAAAAATTTCAAGTTAACTCAGAGTTACCATTAACAGACAATGACATGACAGTATACTTGGTAATACACAGTACGTTAATACTGGGAAGAAAGCAGCATATTATGTTTTAATTAAATCTGGGAAGCTATGAAGATCTGAATATATAAATCCATTGGGGAATACATGAAATTCATACAGAATTATGGTGAGGAAACAGGTTAGAAATCAGTAACTTTGTAGAGAAAGAGGGAGAGGGAAAGAGAAAGAGAGGAAGAGAGGGAGAGAGAGAGGAAGGGAGGTGGGAAAATATCACTAGGATAAATTTTAAGGAGATGGGTTATTGGATTGGTATATGGATGAATCAGCGCCGGATTGTCTCCAGTGGCAAGCTTTGGTGTTGGTCAATTCCATAAATAATGTTTCATATTGCAGAAATTCTCTCATGACAGGCAATTGCAATGAAGACTCAGTCCCTTGACCAGCCATTGTACCTAAATCTTTACAACTTCAATACAGTGTCTGCTCAGGACTGCCCGTATGTTCTGACTAGCCCACGTTCCTTAGAGGCATGCCGCAAAGCAGGTTACAAGGTAATGTACTACACCACAGTTACATTTGATATTGTCCACTGACTAAGATGATACAGTACATTAAATTATGTTTTAGGAGTAACTTTACTAACGTCTTCCTGTGACTGGCAATAATTATACCATCAGTTATGGTAAAAATAAAGATGTCCTCATACCTAATCACTCTGTTCTGAAAGTGTATAGATGGCGTGGAGGTAAAGTTCCTTTTTAGATGGTAGCACTAATAAAAATGAATTACTTTTCATTCCCTTTACCCACAGAGGAAAGAGCCCCAGTAGCCACTGGATGGTAGGGTCCCAGAACTAATCTGAATGTGACTGTGAAAAGCAAAACCTTATCCATGCCAGGTTCAAACCCAGGTTATCCAACTCACAGCCAGTCGTCTAAATCAGCTAACATTATACTGACAAATATATTTTATTTTTATATTTATAAGTAGCATAAGTAGAGTTATAACAACAATCATTTCTGTATCCTCCCAGTGGATTAGTGATTAGAATACTATTTCAGTATTTAACTGGTAGTATCCTATGTGATTGTGGAAAGAAGTATACACCAAATACAAGAATACCACACACCCTCATGGAGTAGTAATTAATTATAGGGAAAACTTTACCTTTATCTTTATGAGGAAAAGTAACATACATCTCTGTGTAGACTACCTATAAAAAGTTACATGCCTATACACTTCAAAGTTTGTCAGTGTCTTGTTATTAATAAAACACAAAGGAAAGAATACAGTCAAATTTCTAATCAGAACACTAGGATGTTGCTCAAAAGTATGTGGGCATAATAAAATCTTCAACGATTTATATAAATCTTAGTGTTGCTGAATATACATGTCACAGAAGTCTACGGTATGTCCATACCTTAAACTACTTGGCGCTTATTTCACACATATAGTGGACTCTTCTTCTCTTTCTTGTTGTTGTTGTTGTTGTTCTTCTTCTTCTTCATGTCTTCATGGAGCAGGAAATTTAGTGCCTGTACCAGCTTCAGTATTCTCTTTCCAGGTATCCAGATCTCCTTGGTCTTCCACTACTCAGGGCCAGTAGGTTTATAATTCCATGCTATGTTAAGCCACCTATTTGTGCATTTTAAGTACAAAGCCTGTTTCCATTTCTTACATTTCCTCCTCTTATCTTCATAGAGTAGGCAATTTAAGGCTCAAAATTGTTGTTCCAACAACTCCTTGAACTTCTTCTAACCCTCTGACCCATAACTTTATAAAGCCATGCTATCTCTAACCACTTGTCTTAATCATTATATCTATATTTCTTCCTGAATGTATCAATCTATATGAATTTGAGTGTACATTGTTCCAGGCAGGAACTTTGGCTTTTAATTCATTTACCGTTTTTGAATTAGATGCCTGAATTTTCCTACCAATCATCTTATTTGCATTAATAAGGGCTTAGTGTACTCACCTAAGCCAAACAGAAAACGGTGTAGTATTGTCATAACTCCCCTGTTCAGCCAGTGGAACTCCTGTACAAGAGTCTTCAGGAGTATCACGACGACCTTGGAGCAGGAACTTCTACCGAAGCATACCAACTATATGCAGACCAGGAACAGGAGAGAAGAAGTAAGAATAATCAATAACTTTAAGCAATATAATCAGCAAGGGAAACAGGCAATATGATTTTGACATTCCCAGAGCCAAAACTAATAAAAATTATTTCACTTTTAGTATGCTGCCATGTTTAATTTCTGTGGCCCTTGCAGTTTCGTAGAGGAATACTGTGCAGATCTTTCAGGAACTAGTATCTTTTGATGAGGGCTATTTGGAAAGTAACCTCCATTTATTTTAGGCAAGCAATATGTGATCAGGGGAGAACTTCCATGTGTCAGGTAGAGTCACATGACTCATTGCCTCCTAAACCACTGCATAACTGGTCATCTAGTGTTTATTCTTGTCTCTACAGAGTGAGTTATGATGTGTCCTGTGATTGATAACCCCGCCAGCTGCAAAATTGGCGCTTTTGTCCGTTTTCTTTATGCTAAAAGTGTAAGTACTGTGGAAATCCATCATGAATTATGCATGATATACAGCCAAAATGTTATGGGTGAAAGAACTGTAAGACAACGGTGTAGAATGATCAAAGATGGGAGGGTGAACAAATGCTTACAGTGAAGAGCAAAGTAGTCGGCCATCTGTAGTGAGTGATGATCTGGTTGAAAGTGTTGGTCAAAAAATATGTGACAGTGCTTCACAATTTCAGAAATTTCTTGTGAATCTCCATAAATTTCACCCCCTCTTATCTGTGAGATTATCACAGTTAGGTTAGACTATCACAAGTTCTGCACAGCTGGGTTCCAAAAATGCTCAATGGTGCGCACAAAATGCAGAGAATGGCTTTGGCATTGACTTTGACTTTTCTAGAGCAATACCACAAAGATGGCAATGAATTTCTAAATCCCAATGTAGGCATAACAGGTGATAAAACCTGGGTTCGAAGTGTGAATGTTGATACCAAAGATCAATCAAAGCAATGGAGGCAAACATATTCAAAAAACAAGTTGAAAAGCTTAAACAGACATTGTGTGATTGCCAGAAAGCTGGTGGAAACTGTTTTCTGGGATGAGGAAGTACTGCTGATGGTGGAATTCATAAAACAAAGGACCACAATAATGTCAGAAGTGTATTGCAAAACACTAAAAAACTGCATTGGGTCATTCAGAAAAAAGATGTGGAATGCTAAAATCTGGTGTAGTGTTCCTCCTTAAAAATGTGCATCCATGTACAGCTGCTCGCACTCAAGCACTGCTGCAACATCTCAACTGGAGTTGTTTGACCACCCTGCATACAACTCTGATCTCACTCCAAGCAACTTTAACCTGTTTACCTACCTGAAGAACTGGGTGAGATCACAGCGCTTCAGCAGTGGAAGGTGTTAAAACATGGCTAAGCTCACAAGTGACACAGGCATACAAAAACTTATTACCTGATAAGACAAGTGCCTCAATTCCAATGGTGACTACGTTGAGAAGTGGCTTAAGTATGTAAGCATTTTTTGTATATAATATTTTTTTCTCATTGTTTGTTTTGTTAACAGCTCACAGATGTTACTTTCCAAATAGCCCTCATAAATGAGCTGAGTTCTAATGCAGTGGTTCTAAAACTGCACTCAAGAGGACACAGATGCTCCAAGAAGTGTTTTCAAGTGATCCATAGAATTGTTCTCGCAAGAGAAGTTTTAATTTAACAGTATTCTTCAATATGTAATATCATGCCATTAAGAGAAGTACAAAGTTTCCTGTGTTGTGCACAAAAACTGAACTGTCACTGCTATTAGAAAACAGTATTGACACCACATATATTCTCATCTATACGGTTAAGAACAGGGAATTAATATCAAATACTGCATGGGGGTAATTAGTGCCAGTAATTGGGCAACTGGTAGGTAACTCACAAAGGGATAATTAAAGGTTTCTTTATGATTCATGATGATCTATACAGTTACTAGCTGATCTAGCAAACATGAGTATCTCATAGGTGTTTTGGTTAAAACTTGAGAAAAGACAGTGAACAGAAAGTTTGTATAATAAACCACAGATATCAGATGTGTGAAGAAGCTTATTGGCACAATTAAGTTCACAAGGAACACAGCACCTGTGACTTAAAACTAAGATGCATTGTTGGTCTGCCTATATTCAAAGTTCATGCAATTAATTAAATAAATATAAATTATGGCACTTTAATTTCAATTTAATATAAATGATTCAAAATTATCATTGGAATTGCTGAATTTCTTATATAGCCTTGTTAATTGAAGTGTCATTAGACTTGGAAAGTTTACATCAATTTAGAATATGCAGGGTGCATGAAAAACGTAAGTGCACAGAACCAGAGACAAGACTATGGCTTGTATCTTCCATGGCATCTTCTCAAAATTTAAAAAATTAAAATGCCACAGGAACATACTTACTAGTAACACTTGTCACTGACTGGAAGTTTCAAATGAAGTAGCTACTATATATTATAATTACAATGACTTAGTGGCAATTGGTGGATTATCTTAACCACAATTCTACAAGTTTTCAGTTCACCAATAGGAGGCTGGACAGTCTGTATCAACCTAACTTGAAATAAATTACTGATAATATATACGTGTATTTCAATAATTGTTGATTTATGGAGAAATTACTGCTGATGCTGACATGTGCACAAATGGAGGCAGAGTAATGCTAGCAAGAATAGTAGGTGGCAGTAGCAAACCACATATCCTTGATACCAGCATGTTCTAGCAGTCACTGCATGAACCATCGATAAGCACTTGCTGTTTAAAAGCTGGAATCAAGCCAGAAAGATGTGATGAGTGAAGCCATTAATATAGTAAAGGTAATTCTTTGTGAGGAAATGAGCAGTAAATATATACAATGTTGCTGCACACACAAAAAAAATAACTTTTCAAGGCAAAAATGCTTGTCAGATTTTCTAAGCTTCATTTACAAATTTCTGTTACTTCATGAAGCAAACAACTCGTATGTCACTGTTTAACAAGGTCCACACAGACACAAAATTTTGTGTACTAGGCAGATATTTTCACAAAAGCTGGTGAAATGAACTTCTAATTGCAAGGAAAGAATACCTCAATATTCATTATAAGGGACAGAAATGCTTCCTTTTAACATGAACCAGAGCTTTGACCATGATGGTAGGAAGCAAGAAATTTTAATTATTTCCATGTATGAAGTATTTCTTAGCAGATACTGAAAATGAGTAGACTATAGACTATACATATTTTATTAACTCAGGATTTATTACTTTATTTCAAAATTAAAAAGGCTCTGCAGCAAAATACATTTGGGAAACACTTTACCAATAGAACATACATGAACCATATTTCTATAGATCAAAAAAATAGATAATGCCCCCCAAATCAAACCTCACTCAAAGTAAAACAAATGCATAAAGAGAGAGAGAGACAGGCAAAGTGACCACCTAATGAGTAGACTGGCTAACTATGACCATTGTGTAAAGTACTGGAACTCAAAGATTAATTGCCACTTTGCAAAAGCCCCTTGACAGATCTTATACTCAAGCAGTTGAACTCAGTCAGCATCATGACACCACATTTTTGTAAAATTAATTTTAATATTACTCTCCCCCAACAGCATCAAAGCTGCCCAAAGCTGATGAGATTTTAAAATCAAAATGGGCGCATTTGACCAACATGTATCAGACATCTCATTCTCTCACTTCACTGTCCTAACAATATTAGGTGGAGTACAAATTATGAAGCCCCCAATTATATTATTTTTTCAAATCCTTTGTTATTTTACCTCTCCTAGATCCAAATTCTTAGGAGGTTAAGTAACTTTGCACTGGTACATCACCCATTTCAATGAATTTTCAAACACATGCACTTTCTCTATTTTAAGGCATTGGTATGATTTTAATCCATATCTTGAACAAATAAAAGCAATTTACAATTGTAAATGCAACATTTGCAACTGTTTTCAGAAAAACTAGAAAAATGCCGTGCAATCAGAAAAGAACTCATGATTCAAACAGGATCACTGAAGGAGAATTCACCACCCTTGTCATCTACTGATGACCAAAAGAAAATCAAAACCTTAGTTCCTTCAGTTCCTAAAGAACAACTAGACAAAGAGAATGCACCACGGGCAACAGGAATTCAAGGTAAACTCTGATTTGAATCAACGGCATGGAATTCTTTTCACATAAGGGACAATTTAAACAGATGAAATGTCAGTGCTCTTAATTGAGGATCCCAACATTCTGTGCAATAAGAGAGCTTTGAAAATTATGAAGCTTTCATATAGGTAATTTGCTTTGCAGAATGTAAAATGACATGGCAGCCATGTAATATCTACTTTGGTTTGATGATTACAAGAAATGAGTTGAACAAGTGATATCTGGTAATATGCAGGTACTCCATAAGCATAACTACATATCGTGTGTGAAGACATTTTGTAAGTTCACAGTTACAAACACGGTGAGAATGTAAAATCTGCTATTGTACTGAGCAGATTGATGATAGTGGCAATATGTGCTAGTGGAAATTGCATAGAAATGAATCAATAGTTTTACAATTATGAATTTGTCAGCTTGTCAGCTTCCTGACATAAATTTAAGCATTTGAAGGACATTAGGTATCTTCTTCCCAAAACTTTTTGACTCTTAATTTTATATTATTTCAGGTATTGAAAATAAACACTGCTGTTGGGGTTCTTCTGATTTAAACTGCCACTATAATATATAGAATATATGGTAAAATATACTTGGGGTTAACAATGACGAACAAGAGTGAAATTTGTGAGAGTAATTATATAGAGGTTCTATGTGATGAACATCCTTCCTAGACCATGGGTATATTTTCGTTTGGCAATGAAAAAGTTTATAGCATTGTCCTTATATTTCTTCATAAGCTATTTGTCTTTCTTCAAACAATAGCGTCAGCACTAAAGGCATTAGAAAACAATCAGAATAGTGATCAGAAACATGAAGAGGTTGATATATCATATTTGACTGGCGAAACAACATTCACGTCTGATTCAACCAATAAGAGAGAATCTACATCAACTTCTTCATCAATCAACCCCATTTCACCAGACATCAGACGCAGTAAGAAAAGGTGAGTCAGTAACAGGAAGAACTAATTATGGCTGTATATATCGTTATTGGATATACAAAATTAGGTGACACTCTATGTGATAGAATTTGCACATATTACACATATTTCAGTGCACATTATTAATACACAATTTCCTTTCATTATGCAAAAAGTGAATACAAATCTGTGTCTCTCTGTCCATACATGTCTCATTATCAGAATTTCTCACCTGAAATTATAAAATTCGATGATGACAATATCTATCTATCTATCTATCTATCTATCTATCTATCTATCTATCTATCTATCTATCTATCTATCTATCTATCTATCTATCTATCTATCTATCTATCTATCTATCTATCTATCTATCTATCTATCTATCTATCTATCTATCTATCTATCTATCTATCTATCTATCTATCTATCTATCTATCTATCTATCTATCTATCTATCTATCTATCTATCTATCTATCTATCTATCTATCTATCTATCTATCTATCTATCTATCTATCTATCTATCTATCTATCTATCTATCTATCTATCTATCTATCTATCTATCTATCTATCTATCTATCTATCTATCTATCTATCTATCTATCTATCTATCTATCTATCTATCTATCTATCTATCTATCTATCTATCTATCTATCTATCTATCTATCTATCTATCTATCTATCTATCTATCTATCTATCTATCTATCTATCTATCTATCTATCTATCTATCTATCTATCTATCTATCTATCTATCTATCTATCTATCTATCTATCTATCTATCTATCTATCTATCTATCTATCTATCTATTATGCAGGTAGCTTACAACATGGGTACTGAAACTGTCCCCCAGATTCCACATCAACATCAAGAGTCTACTACATGTCATTAGGAAGGTCAAGAAAACCAGGAGGAACTGAAATTTTAAAGGATAAATCGATTTCTTCTCTATGTTGATGATGTTAATTTTATGAGCAAAACAGAAAAACCATACAGACAAATACTTAAGCACTACTCATCAGTAAGGAGAATGATCTGGAACAGTGTTTTCCAAACTTAAAACATTCAAGTATTTCTTTCAGAAAATTGAAATTACTGCTGTATTCCCTCCCGTCTGTATAAGAATCAGACGACTCATAAGCAGTAAAGCCAACATTATTAAAAATTAATTTGTTCAATTTTCTTCATATTAGTGTTCATCTGATGGCAGACAGAACTCTAAGACTTTGTTTCACTGCGGCGTCCCGGGTTCGATCCCGGGTCTGGTCCAACTGGGTCCACTCGGCATGGCAGTCACTGATTGGCTTATTGTAGCCTCCCCCGGGTGATTATGATGATGGAGAATTTGGTTGAATGAAGTATGGCAGGGGAAATCCAAGTGTTTGGAGAAAACCCGCCCCAGCGCCACTTTGTCCACCACAAATCCCACTTGACCAGACCCGGGATCGAATCGGGGACGCCGCGGTGGGAAGCCAGCGACTAACCACTTGAGCTATGGCGCAGCCATCAGGAACTATAAAAGTCTCAGTTAATCACACATTTTCTCCTCACGTCCACACTCTTGCACGTAACTCTTAACTACACTGCACTGCACTCTGCACTCTCAACTGTTTTTGCACAATGGCTTTGTGCCTCTAACTTGTGGCTTCTAAGCCACAACTACTCACAAACGACCTTTGTTGTCTCCTTTAAACTTTTGGCAAAGACCATGCATAGAAACCACCTTCTATTATTGCAGACGTCTTTACAGTTCTGTTACCTTGCACTGGGAATGGGACAGACCACACTGAAAACACAAGCCACGTGATTCCTACCCAGCGATTTTATTGGCACACTGTTGCCTATCAATGAGCTATAAAGATTCGTCTATTGTTGAGTGTGCATATTGCAAGATGTTTATCAAGACGTTGCCTGGTAACATGAGTTGACATGTCACAAAATATTCATGCCTCATCATCTAAATGCAAGACAAAAATCATAATATAAAGGCAACTAATAGATCTTTTGAAATTGTGGCAATTAAGTTTTGTGGGAATAACACCAAGAAATATATTTAAGAGTAAATTAAATTTGGGGAATGACATTCAGTTACAAATACTTACTCCCATCTGCTATCTAAAAATTCACAGATTAAAATACAAAACAAAAAATTGCATTTATTTTTATGGGTGTGAAGCTTGATCTGTCTCTCTCTAAGGAAAGAACACTGACTGAAGGCATTTTAGAGGATGCTGAGGAGAACATCTTGACCTTAGAAGGACAAGGAGGAAGAAACAGGATACTGGAATGGTTGTATATTGAAAAGCTTCATATTCTGTACTCCTCACCGAATTTCATTAGAGTGATCAAATGAAGAAGGACAAGATGAGCAGGATATGTAGAACGCATGGGAAAGAAAGAAGTGCATACAAAATTTTTTGGTAGAAAACCCAGAAAGAAGGGGCCTATGCATAGAAGGGAGAATAATGTTAAAATAGCTCTTCAAACTTTGGAAACGAGGGTGTGTACTGAAATAATTTAGCTCAGAACAGGGATCAATGTTGGGCTCTTCTGAATGCTGTAACAAACATTCTGGCTCCATAAAATGCAGGATACTTGTTGACTAGCTGAAAAATTATTTGCTTCTTAAGAAGGGCTTAACTTTAAGGAGCCACTTAGATAGTTACAAAATATCAATACAGACAATTTGCTCTGTCAATCAATCTGTGTATGTAACAAACAAACATCAAGACCAGTGAGGAATGGAAGATTGTAATGAAAACATTTGGAAAATGTGTATTGAACTGAACCACACCACAACACTTCTAGGTTCATCTTGTAAAGCATTTCAGTTTTATTTGTTTGTTGTTTGCTCAATTATCATTTCTTAACTGCACATACTGTACAGCAATGAATGGGAGGATTATTGTGAATCATGAAAGGGCAAGGTGTGAAAGGAAATGATCATGGCCTACATTAAAATATTATTCAAGCATTTTCCTGGTGACTCTGAGAAAACCCAGAATAGCCAGTTCTTTGCCTAAAGATGAATTTTGCAATTCTGAAATATGAATCAGAAGTACCAACAATTACATCATGACATCACCACATTTAGTCATTTCTAACGTTTCCCATGCTCAACCAAAGTATCTTAGTCAGGAATGTAGCTGCTTCTGCTCTTTTAATAACGGTGAATACCACTTCTGATATCTCTTGATATATTTGCTTTCTTCAACAGAAATTACAAATTAACATTAAAAGTACATAAATACATACTACATTATGGAATTACTGAGGTTTTGGACTTTTTCCACCGCCTGGTATTTTACATAATAGAGGACACGACGTTTCGAAAGCTAGATCTAGTTCCATCTTCAGGTGAGAAAGGAAGACACCTACTCAGTTGAGCCCCTTACAATAAGCTAATCTCAATCACTGGACAACTCCTGTCAGATTTACCCAGCTATTTCATCATATAGGACTAGCTAGTTCAGTGGGCAGTAAAAAGAAACCATAAAATAAAAATTGATAGGGAACGCACATGCGTGGAACAAGGATAGAATAGGAGGTAGAAATTTATGCAAGAAACCTAACTGACAAAAAAACCAAGTGCATGAGCACAAACGCGAAGAAATTTGGAAAAATTGTGAAGACATGTAATATCTTTAATATCTACCACAAGTGCCTGGTTACTCCACAGATGGCACTAGCGGTAGATATCACATGTCTTCACAGGTTACAACTTCAAAAAGAAAATCTGGCCTGGCTATGAAAACAAATTCAGTCCTGTTAATTTCCAGCAATTCCTCATTCATGCAATATGCATTGCTACATTATGACTGGTGAAAAGAAATCAAGTTTTTCTGATGTAAACAGTAAATTAGTATTTTAATGTATATGTTGACAAAGATAATAATCTGCAAAGAGCAACTCCATTTAAGGGGTTTTCTTCTGAAGTTTAAAATTAAATTATGTATTATTTTTGAGCCTATCCTATTGTAGTATATCGTTTGAATTGAACTGTGAATAATTTTGCACCTAGCCCTTTGTATTTTTCTCAGAGTTGTTGGAAACTGTAAATCAAGCCATTTGAATGCTTTCTTAAAACTGAATTATAAATTAATTTTGGAATTATAATTCAATCAGGATTTAACTTTCAACCTAGCCCTTTGCAGTGTTTCCTTGGAATTCAGTTGGAAATGATTTATGGATGCAGCTCACTGCACATTTTCATAAAGTTTACTTGTGAATTAATTTTGGACCTACTTTATTAAAACACTTGTTTTAGAATTTAGTAGGAAACCAATTTTTAAACTAACCATATTCAAACTTCTCTTAAAATCAATTAGAATTTTTTTTTTCCTTGGCACTACAGCCCCAGTGGGCCTAGGCCTACCTCCATGAACTTCTCCATTCACTTCGGTTTTTCTAGATCTTACACATTCGGTAGGACTCCTTGGATGGGTAATCAGCTCATCGCAACACAAACACAGAAAAACGCACACACAGAAACTAAATATCCATGCCCTGAGTGGAATTCGAACCCACGATCTTGGTTTCCAACTGAGCGAAGACAGTGCATGCCTTAGACCACTTGGCTACTGTGACCAGCTAGAAATTAATTTTAGGCCTGCCTATTTTCTATGAGTTTCTCAAATGTAATTGGAAATTAGTTTTGGACCTACACTATTTCACTGTTTTCGGTAAATTCATTTTGAAATGTATTTTGGACCTACTACTTATCAGTAAAGGTAAAGATTTCCCTGTGCTTATCTAATTAAGCACTACACCATGAAGGCGTATGGGGGAGTGAACGCATAGATACACATTTTCTTGACCTCGGCACTAGCTGGGGGTGGGTGGTCAGCTTCACGCCCCGGCCGCTTTACCCCAGAAAAAAGAGCCCCCGGTACCCATTAGATAGGAGGTTGGGTGGACACCACAGCCAGTCTGGATGACATGGAGAAGAGAAAATTCTTTGCCCTACCGGGACTAGAATTCTGACCACTTGGCAGTCCAGCCCATAGACAGTCCTCTATACTATCCCAGCTCCTCCCACTTTTCAACGTCTTCTTCAAATTCATTTTGTACTTGTTTTTGGCCAGTGACTGTGCAGTTTCAGTTGGGAACTTATTTTATTTCTATCGCCTTTCAAAGTTTTTTAAGTTCAACTGAAAATTATCTTTGACTGATCTCTTTTCAAATTTTGTTTTTAGTTCAAATTAAGAATTAATTTTTGGCCTATGTGCAACATTTTTGTTGAAATTAAACTGGGAATTAATTTGTCCCATTTCAAATTAAAATCAATATTAAATCAAATACAGCTCCACAGACTGTGCTGTTGAAATACCTTTTTTATTTTATGTACTGCATTACATGTTTCAATTTGAAAAGTTTATCATTAGATACACACCTCATACCATAGTAAACTACTGATTAATAAGTACAGTTTATTCTTTTTCATATACATTCAGGAGTCCATATTAGTGTTAGAAGATTAGAAGTTCATTCATTGTGCTAGTAGCATCAGTCATCATTCTGTCTTGAATTGTGAAAATAAAATAACTATGCAATCTTTTAACACATTTCATTATGTATGCAAAACAGGTTTAATGTTAATGATTTCCTATGGTATAAGTTGTACTCCTACTGATTTGTTCAGATTGAAACATGCAGGGCAGTATGTAACACAAGGTAACAGTTCCTTTTATGAAGCTGTATTTGAAAATTAAATGTTTATTTTAATTTTAATATGGAACATAATGTCGTAAAATTCAATTTTAAGATGTCCTATCTCTTTTCAGTGCCTTTATTACATTACTGTGAATGTTCAGGCTTTGAAAGAAGCTTTCTATTATATAAAAACTGAGATAAAGATCTGTAATTTTGCAATTCTGTGATGTACTTTGTGGGTGAGTAACGCAAAAATTTCTTCTTTATTAGTGCTGGAAAATGCAAGAGTTTTTCCATCCCCCCACATTTGCAACTTGGAAGTTCATCTTCAGAAATCTCATCCATTTCCTCGACATCAACAACAGTAAAAGTGAACAAAAGAAACACCCGACTGAGCAGCACTCATTTTGGTAAATCAGGTAGCAGAACTTCAGTCAAGCACCTGCAAAAATTCAGCTCTTTGTCTTCATCTGCCAGTTCACATGGAGCCAACAAGTACAAAATAAAATGTACAAATCTGCCCAAAAACCGAAACGGTCGTGATTACAGAACTGCAACTAACTATGATTCTAATCACACAAGCTGCAGTAGCAGCAGAGACAGCACTACAACTCCAATAAAGAGAAAACAGGTGTCCTTCAGGTCAGTTGGAGAAATTTCTGTAGGTCTCTTTCTACTTCTCCCATCATCCTTGTTTGCTGTTCCAACCAAATTACTTGTTCACAATTAAAGAAACTTAAAATTTAAGTAATTTATTCCTTAAAATCTAAGTAATTTTATTTCTTAAAGATTTCTAGCAATACATTTTATACTAGTTCATAAATATTAATTTATATATATTACTGACTTAATCTTCTTACTTACTAGTGCACAGACTATGCATGAACTGCTGAACTGTTCATAAAAACTGAATAACGAGAACAGAAATTACAAAAAAAAAAAAAAAAAAAAAAAAAAAAAAAAAAAAAAAAAAAAAAAAAAAAAAAAAAAAAAAAAAAAAAAAAAAAAAAAAAAAAAAAANTTTATGCACTCTGCTCACTGTATATGTCAGTTAAATCTCATTGCAGCCACTATAGGATACATTCTACGAAACTATGCCAATAGCAGCGATTTGTGATATCACCTTCATTGGTCTGACTCAAATTTGACTTCAAGCACCCATGTGGTTTACCAAAAGTGTTACAAAATATTACACTGGCCCTCAGACTTTCAGCCTTATCTGAATATGTAAACATCCAATTCTGTACAAGGAGGGAAATTTCTTGACTTCAAGAGGGTCTTTACTGCATGGTGTTATGTAATTAGTTATTTGGTGTGTCTTGTTCTACTTATTACTGCTGTTTGAACTACACTGGTTATGTAGTGATAAATGGGAAGGTGACTGTAAGTGATTATTTGGGAATTTGATAAAAGGAAGCAGTCAAATCCTCTTTAAAGTACCACCAAAAGTTTATACAGAGGTGAATGAAACCAAAATACCCTCATTCAGGAGTCAGAATAAAATACATTTAGGCTAAGAATCAAACTAAGGGGTTCTGTAATATTAGCCAGAAGTGCCAGTAACCTGACTGCAATGTTCAGGGATTTCTTCTCCCCATAATAGTTTCTGTTACGATTTGTGTAAAAAATAAAGCAAATTTAAGTAGATTCTAAAGGGCTGTGATGATCGTGTACAGTATAACTTGGTTTTTGGACCTTGTCCATCATCTGGTATTCTTGAAACTAGAAAACACTTTCTAGAATACCAGATGATGGATAAAGACCAAAAACCCAATAATTCTGAACAAATTTAATTTTAAGAATTATATCCATAATTGTCAAACTGTTTAAAAAATAAATACATGACTGTTTAGGCAGAATTTTAAAAGAATATGTTAATGATGACATTAAATAAAATATTAAATTATCATTTTTAATATGCCTTGTTAACTACTGAGAAGAGGGAACAAATAATAGTGTTTAATTTTTCATTTTCCTGTTTCATTTTCAGTTAATCTAAAGAAGAAAAATTATTGAAGAGATATAGCATTTTATAAGTAGTTTAAGATGTGTGTGTAATAATCCATCAGTGGGCCTAAAGTCTGTTGAACTGTTAAAGAATGACAAATCATAAAACAAATAAAACAGACAAAATTTATAGAGAATGAACCTCAACCTAAATTAACATGAATTTCCTCTTGGTAATAACATCTCCTCCACACTAGACAATATATTTTGACCTTCTGGAATCAGGTAGTGGCATTCCCTGTGTACCAAATGTTATGGTTATGCTGCCATGATTAGTCTTCTGTAGACAGGCAATGGTGCTTCATCCATGTCAGATGTAATGGTTATACCACCATGACTCAGTCATGAAGAATTAGGCAGTAATACTTCCACTGCACTAGATAATATGATTATACAGTCCATGATTCTTTGTCTGGAATTAGGTATTGCCATTTCATCCAGATGTAATGATTATTCATTCCCTATAAGTTTGTGATAATTAATTTATGTTGGGCATTTTCCACTGTCTGGAGTACATTTAATACATGCTGTCAAATATAAAATACATCAAATATATTATCAGAAAATAGACAACACCCAACACAATAACTGTGTAAGATGTAATGATTATACTGCCATGGCTCAGTCTTCTGGAATTTGGTAAAAGCATTTCTTTCACATAAAATGTTATAGTTACACAGATGTATCTTGGCCTTCTGAAATTAAACAGGGGCATTTCTTCCATGTAAATGTTTTAGCTGTACAGTCACGATTTGATCTTAAATTAAGTGGCATAAGCACAATAGACCACTGTAGGTCGCGGTGCAAGGGCCAAGAAGGCCTACCCCTCATACAATCAAGTAGTGGCATTTCTTCCAAATTATGTGTTACGTTTATATCTTCATGACTTGTATGTTCTGCAATTATTATCATCCCGCTTGAATTTTGAACAGTTTATCAGTTGTCCCCAATTAAACCTTTCACTGTTTTCCTTAATCTGTCAAAATTAACAACAGGACAGCTTATTCAAATGGGCCTTGACCACCTCCTTCCAAAACCCTACTGCTCACAATTCATGAGTATCTTCCCATTTCATTACATGCTATATAAGCCTTGCAGTTGAAACATCTTTAAACAATATAGGAATCACTCAGTGTTTTCACATTCTCTACTTACAGCTATATCACCACAGATGACTTACACCTGCCTGAACATGATCGCCGTATCCTTGAGTCAATGGCCTTCAAAAAAGAGACTGAGAGAGAAAATGACGAGTTTGCATATCAGGCCCATCAGCTCTGGGAGGAGGACAGAGAGCAGAGAGCACAAGTATATATTCATCTTTAACATGGACATTTATGGGGTTTGTTCCAATGAAACTCATTTGACACTGGAACTGAGTGACCACTTTTTGGTCCTGTTTGGATGGATTATGAACATGAATACCAATGTTTAATCAAATCACAGTGTGCCCATTTGCTGTAATGCACCAGCTCTGTTGCATAGCTTGTGGTGAACTGCTGGTGCATATTTGCTAACAGTGCCATGAATGAGTTTTATTTGAAGAATCAACATGTACTTCGCTTATGAGAAAACTTTGCTCTGAACAGCAGTAAATAGTTAAGGCCACTCTTAGTAATTTAATGAAACATCATTAGTGTATCTGAAATAATGTTTATTAACAACTATGAACAGGACAAGTTCAAAGAATGTTCAGGATGTTAGGTGCATCTCCAATCTCAACCCAATAATAAGTTGAGAAATGAATATTAAAGCCATGTGCCATTTTAATGATACATTTAAAATGTTTAGTTCTAATGTACCCATGTGGAGCTAGGACAGTTCAGTCAGTATAGTGACTATCCTACATGGTGGATAATTGGGGTTTAACTTCTGGCAAGGGCAGTTTTCTTGTGCCATGGTGCACAGACTAGCTGTGTTCCCCATTCAACTTCCTATTCTATGGATAGCAGTTCTCTTCCTCAAGATGTATAATGGCATGAATGGGAAGCTGATCATGCACCTCTGTCTAGCATCCAGGTTACATACATACATACATTTCATTTCACAAGTCCAAACAAATGGACATGAAGGTCATCAAACAAAAATTTAAACAAAAACACAGATAACGAAATAATTAAAACTAATTGCTTATGTTATGCTCCACATATTCAGAAACTGTATAAAAGGAATTATTCATAAGATATAAAAACAAATTTAAACAAACACACGGATAACAAAATAATTAAAACTAATTTAATAATGTACAAACTATATCTGCACTCCCTCAACTATCTTCATGGCATGGCCTTAACTAATTAAGCACAGACACAAGTTAATTTTTCAAATAATAGTATAGAACTTACAGTACAACACGACACAAATCTGACATGTTACATTCATTGGCTTCTACCAGCACACAAAAATAATTCTCACAGTAGTCATGCTGTTACTATTCATTTTTCTAAACATAATCTCAATGAAACTCACTCATAGAGCTGAATCCTTCTTGAGAAGCTGTCAGTTGTGCAGCTACTCAAGAACTTTGCAGTATTTTATGGAACCCAAAGGTTTATCACCGTGTTCACTGGAGCCCTCCACTGGTCCCTATACTGAGTCAGATCAATCCAATTTATACCATCCCATCCTATCTCTCCAAGATCCATTTTAATATTGCCCACCCACCTACATCTTGGTCTTCCTAGTGGTCTCTTTCCTTCTAGTTTTCCCACCAATATCTTATATGGATTCCTCTTCTCCCCATTCGTGCTACATGCCCTGCCCATCTCATCATCCTTCACTTGAGCTAATTATGCATGGAGAAGAGTACAAGCTATGAAGCTCCTCATTTTACAGTTTTCTCCTACATCCCATCACTTCATCTCTCTTTGGGCCAAATATTCTCAGTATCCTGTTCTCAAACACCCTTAGTCTATGTTCCTCCCTTAATGTTTGAGACCAAGTTTCACACCCATACAGAACCAGAGGCAAAATTATAGTTTTGTATATTTTTAATTTTTATGTTTTCAGACAGCAGACGAGAAAAAATGTTCTGAACTGAATGGTAGCAAGCATTACCCGAATTCAATCTCTTCTTAATTTCCTCCTGAATAAGGTTTTGATTTGTTATAGTAGCTCCCAAATATCTGAACTGTGTCACATTTTCAAAACGTCTATTAGCTATCTTTATGTCATGATGTTGCCCTGCATTTTGGTGATGAGACAGCAACATATACTTAGTTTTCTCTGTGTTTACTTCTAGATCAAGCTCTTTACTTGCGTCAATTAAAGTTTGTGTGTTTTTCTTTATGGTATCTACATTATCACCCAGTAGATTCACATCATCAGCGCAGACTAACAGCTGATGTGTCCCGTTTAATTTCAGTCCCACCTGGTTTCCCTGGACCTTCCTAATGGCATATTCTAAAGCAAAGCTGAAAAGCAGTGGTGATAAAGCATCTTCTTGTTTTAGACCATTCTGGATAGGAAAATTATCAGACAAATATTTACCTATACATCTCAATGAAACTAGCATATTTTAAAAGATTTATTGCCATATATAAATGAGGATCCTACAGTTCTGTTATTGCCCTTGCCTCAGAAGTTTGCTCTGTTGTACTGACGATGAGTTAGGAAGAAATGTAGGAAAATATCTTATGATCTTGACATAATTAATTTATAAATATTAAGCAAAAAATTAATTTTGTTGTCAACACCAATGCAAATATTACACAGAATTCCATAATGACAAAATGTGATGCAGCAAAATATTGTGGAGATGGCACAGTGGAGACAGTCAGTGGCAGAAAAGAGAAGAATGGAAAGTATCGAAAACTCCCGTAAAATGGAGGAGATGAAGCAGAGTCTTCGGCAGTCACAACAGCAGCTAGAATGCAGAATTCGCAAAAAAGAAGAATCTGCTATGAAGTTACGCCACGCTGTACAGGAACGAAAGGTTTGAGAAAATTCACTTTTTCTGTTACACATCATCAGTGACTAACTTTTAAAAACTCTAGTTTTAAATTATGAGTTACTCACCTCAACCCATAGCTCTTTTGACTTATGCATCCTGATATGATCTTCAGTAATGCAGTTCTCTTCTCCTTGTTTTTCCATTAGGATTTGTGGCTTTGAAGCTCATTCCAGGGTTCATAACTAAAATCGGTTCTTCCATCTACACCTAGATGTGTCTACAGCTTCTTTTCCTGTATATTTTAGGGGAGTCACCTTGCATTCTGTTTACACACTGTCTTCAATTTAACTGATAATTTTGTGTCAGTTATTTTCATGGTTTACAGTCTGCATCTTCTTCCTTAATTTTGTAATTTGCCTCTTAAGGTTATTCCCAGTAGCAATCGAAGAAATCTCATATGTGCAATTGAAAAAAAATGAAAAGAAATATTGTAGCATGTAGATCTGTATCTAGGCAATGGCTCAGTAAATATGTTCCCATGGCAACAGATATGTATACAACAATAGAGGTACAACTGGAAGCAGTGTCTTCTATGGTCCACGCCCTGAACTTTGTTATGCAATGGCGTGGTAAACACACCTCCACAACAATAGAAGACCTGTTTCCTACATGGTCCATTCCAAAAGGTTATCAAGAAGGCAAGTTTAGAGTTTAGTTCAGTTGCCGGACTGTAAGCGAACAGTTTTAAATTTGTTACCAGGAAACATATAGTGAAGACAATGCAAACTGTAGAAGATTTAGCATGTAGTGATGTGCAAAATGTAAAAGATAAAGTTGTCCCTGTGCTTAATTGATTAAGCACTATGCCATGAAGGCATATGGGGAGTGAATGTATAGATCCACATTTTCTTAACCTCAGCACTGGTTAGAGGCAAGTGGTCAGCTTCAAGCTCCGGTCACTTTACCCCTAAGGAAAGAGTCCCCAGTACCCATTATATGGGAGGCTGGGTGGACCCAGAGCCGGTCTGGACGACATAAAGAAGTGAAAATTCTTGCCTCACCGGGACTTGAACTCTGACTCCTCCGACCTCCAGCCTGTAGCCAGTCGCTATACTGACTGAGCTATCCCAGCCTATGTAGTGATTTGTAAAGTGTGGAAATCAGTGAGTGCTATGGTTATTTACAGTTATTACTTGTAAGTGGTCAATAAATCCAAATATTGAAAACCCCACCTATAGTCACTCTTGCTGCATACATGACAATATATTCAGGGTTGGTATAGCAGACATCATACCTAAGCGAAAAGCATGCTTTTCTTTTATTGCTAGTGGGGTGGGACTAAGTCCCTTGTACTGCAGCCACTTCTGGCCTATTGTACCAGCCCCCGATAATAGGTGAGGGTGATTGTGGAGCAATTGGTGGAAGGAAGATTGGCAGGGGAAACTGAAGTACTGGGATAAAACCTGCTGCAGCGCCACTTTGTCCACCACAAATCCCACTTGACCTGACCCGTGCTCGAACCCAGGCCGCCACAGTGGGAAGCCAGTGACTAACCACTTGAGCTATGGCGCAGCCTAAAAGCATGCTTAGTGTTAGCAGTAAAATGATTAATTCTGGATTAGCGTCCACAACTACTATCCTGTATATGTGACAAAATGTAGAATTTGTTATAGATGAGTAAAGTAGAAGAACGCAATCAGTCTGCTGCAAAACGTCGGGCTGAAGCAGAGGCAGCATGCCAACAGCGAGAGCTGGAAGCAGCCCAATGGCAACAAATGCTGGATGAGCAACAGAAGCTACGGCTTGAGAGAGCAGAAACTGCAAGGCTGCAACACCAAGAGACTTATCGCAGGGTTTGTTTTTTATGATTGAACTTCTGATTCTACCACATAGTACCAAAACAAGATGTTTTGCCTGAAAAATACAACTTATATGATAGTGTCTAAGAGGGAGAATATATATAGGTGGACCTACCTGAAACCTTGTTAGATTGTACTGCCATGCTGAATCTTAAAAGAGATATCACTTGTGAGATACCATGACAAATGTTGGTCATGTTAATCAGTAACCTGATTTAAACCAGACCACTCCCCCATACAAGGGCGTGGAGTTACCACTGAACTTAAATATACATTGCTCTTGATCGGACCTCTTTCAGAGAGTTGCCAGTGCTAATAGGGTGGAAGAAATCCGCCATCAAGAATGCTGGCAGCAGATGCAAGAAGAAACCAAGGCAGCACTGCAAGAACTGCGCAGACTCTGTCGAGAACGGGAAGAACATGCACAAGAAAATTACAAACAAATTCAGCAAGATCGTAACAAGCAACTCAAGGGGCAGAGGTAAGACAGAGTAATCAATAAACACATCTTCCTCCTCCACTGACGCTACCATCAGGGTGAATTCTTTTATATCAGAGCTACTTTCATTCATCTTTGTCTTTTGGTAAATACTCCATGTCTTTTCCACTTTTTCTGATAGTCTTTTATACATGTATATTTTCTAGTAGTTGGTCTCTCCATCTAGGCCTTGGTCTTCCAAGTGGCTGTTCATTCAGTATCTTAATTTACCTGTATTTACCCTCCTGTAGGAGTTCTGTTTTCATTCATACATCCATGCCTCTGCATCCTTAATCCACTGGCAAACTCTGATGACTGAGGAACATATGCACATTCAAGCAATGTTAGCTATTTTGTTCATGGTGAAGTGCTTCTGGATGAAAGTATAAATCGCTAGGTAGTGATCAAATTCCGGCAGAACTTATTCTAAGATCCACAATCTAATTACTTCTATATGACATAAGGAAAAATTACCTGATCAATGTAAGGGAGTCTATTATTGTACCAGTTCACAAGAAGGGTGATAAAACTGACTGTAGTAATTATCGGGGGATATCACTGCTATCAACTTCATACAAAATTTCATCCAATATTCTTCTCTCAAGGTTAAGTCCATATATAGATGAAATTATTGGGGATCATCAGTTTGGATTTTGACGTAACAGATGAACTACTGACAGATCATTTGCATTCGTCAGGTACTGGAGAAAAATGGGAGTACTATGAGACAGTACATCAGCTATTCATAGACTTCAAGAAAGCCTGTAATTCAGTTTGGAGGGAAGTATTGTACAATATTCTGATAGAGTTTGGGATACCCATGAAACTAGTTAGGTTGATTAAAATGTGTTTAAACGAAACATATAGTAAAGTCCGTGTAGGTAAACATTTGTCTGATAAATTTCCTCTCCAGAATGGTCTAAAACAAGGAGATGCTTTATCACCACTCCTTTTCAACTTTGCCTTAGAATATGCAATTAGGAAGGTCCAGGGAAACCAGGTGGGACTGAAATTAAATGGGACACATCAGCTGTTAGTCTGTGCTGATGATGTGAATCTACTGGGTGATAATGTAGATACCATAAAGAAAAACACACAACCTTTAATTGACACAAGTAAAGAGGTTGATCTAGAAGTAAACACAGAGAAAACTAAGTATATGTTACTGTCTCGTCACCAAAATGCAGGGCAAAATCATGACATCAAGATAGGAAACAGATGTTCTGAAAATGTGGCACAGTTCAGATATTTGGGAACATTGATAACAGATCAAAACCTGATTCAGGAGGAAATTAAGAGGAGATTGAACTCGGGTAATGGTTGCTACCATTCAATCCAGAACCTTCTGACTTCTCATCTGCTGTCTAAAAACATAAAAATTAGAATATACAAAACTATAATTTTGCCTGTGGTTCTGTATGGGTGTGAAACTTGGTCTCTGACATTAAGGGAGGAACATAGACTGAGGGTGTTTGAGAACAGGATGTTGCGGAGAATATTTGGACCGAAGAGGGATGAAGTGACAGGAGGCTGGAGAAAACTGCATAATGAGGAGCTTCATAATTTGTACTCTTCTCCAAGTATAATTAGAATGATCTTGTCAAGGAGGATGAAGTGGGCAGGTCATATAGCATGAATGGGGGAGATGAGGAATGCGTATAGGATATTGGTGGGAAAGCCAGAAGAAAAGCAACTCCTAGGAAAACCATGACATAGGTGGGTGGGTAATATTAAAATGGAACTTAGAGAGAGAAGCTGGAGTGGTATGGACTGGATTTATCTGGCTCAGGATATGGACCACTGGAGGGCTCTTTTGAACCCAGTAATAAACCTTCAGGCTCCACATGTTGGGAAGTCCTTGAGTAGATACACAACTGGCATCTTCTCAAGAAGGGCTCAGCTCCATGAAGTTAGTCAGTCAGTTAGTTAGTTGGTTAGTTAACAGCCAGAGAAAAAGGTGCCAAAAGAGACTAACTGGACCTCAGACAAACAGAGCAAAATGGTATTGAAGAAAAGTACATGAGGAAATGTATGATTCATATTGTTTATTATGGTTAGGTTGATTAAATCAAGAAAGGTGAGATAAGTAATGTACCATGCATGATGAGATATGTATACAAAATTTTAGCCGATAACCTCAAGTGAAGACATCATTTGAAAGACCTATATGTAGATGGGAGGATAATATTAAAATGGATCTCATATTGAATGTGAGATGGCTTAAGATATGGTCCAATGATAGGGTTTGCTGAACATGCTGAAGAATCTTCACTTTTCTAAAAATCAGGACTTCCATTGATCAAGTGATTACTATCATCTGCTTTAAGAGGACCTGTATTATGGAACAGTTCAAGAGAGCCATACAAAAGTACACATATGAATGGATCTGTCAGCTTTGTATCACACTTATTTTGCAGTTTAGAACGATCCATCAAGTTTCAACAAGTTCATCAGTTACATGATGAGCTTGACCTTGGCCTGAAGAAATGGCAGGATCAAATACTAGCCTTGCAGCGGAAGGCAACACGGCAAGCAGAAGCTAAAGCAACACACCATTTGGACAGCAAGCGACAGAAAGTTGAGAATGAGAACAGGGCAAGGCGGTTGCACCATATACACCTCATGGACAGGTCAGTCTATCGTGATGTGTTATATGGTATATATAACACACCATACAACTTGTTAGGTAACATTTTTAATGCATTTCTATGTGTTATATATACAAAAAGCATAAAAACAATGCATAATAGAGAGGTCATGTCTGCCCATCCATCCACCTGTTTCACCTCCAAAACTGATGGATGGGTTTTGACAAAATTCGATAGAGGAGGCTATACTAGAAGTTAGCAGGTGCATTTGATACAAATACATTTGATACTTGATACAAAATTCCTTGGAATATATGTAGACAGTACACTGTCTTGGAAAATACATATTGAACAAATTATACCTAAATTAAATGCAGCTTGCTATGCGATGAGATCAATTAAGCCTTTTATGTCACAGGAAACACTGAAGATGGTTTACCATGCCTACTTTCATTCTATTATGAACTATGGATTAATATTTTGGGGGAACTCTTCACATAGTGTAATAATTTTTAAAATACAAAAGAATATAATTAGAATCATTACAGGATGTAGAAGTAGAGATTCATGTAGAGAATTATTTAAGAAATTAAAAATTCTACCTCTTCAATCGCAATACATATTATCGCTTCTCTTATTTGTTGTTTACAACAAAGATAAATTCAAATTAAATTCTGATGTCTATAACATGAATACTAGGCAAAAATATAACTTCCACCTACCATCATCAACTTTATCAGTATATCAAAAAGGAGTCTACTTTACTGGCATAAAAGTGTTCAACAATCTGCCACAAAGTATTAAAAACTTGGGCAATGATACTAAAAAGTTTAAATCAGAGTTAAAGAATTATCTACATGCTCATTCCTTCTACTCTTTAGATGAATACTTCAATGTAAATAGAGAATGATGTCAAATTAAGTTACATTAATTTTTAAGCTAAAATTGCCTGTACTTATGTATGTAACCTTTTGACTTGTTCTGTATCCAAAGGTACTAACCTGCTTAGGATTTATAGAATGTAACTAAATTCAATTCAATTCAATTTAATTTTTGTTTAAATCAGTCCACTATAATCTCTACCTTAAATGAAATTAAAATCATACTTCTTTGATAAGTCCAAAAAATTGTTCTTGTATGAGTGATGACCTAAACTCTATAAATTTGGTTCAGGATATGCATCAAGGACTAAATTTTTAAAATATGATAAATTATCAAATAAAAAATAAAATTTTTGACAACTGAAAATGGTCAAGTGCAGAAGACCATTAATTTTGGAGTTAACTGGTGTCAGTCATGAAGGTGTCTACATAATAATGTTATAAATACTATAGGATCACTCGTGAAGACAAAGCTCGAGTGTGCTACATCCAAGAGCTCATATCGCGGAAGGAGGCAAAAATGAAACGGATGGCTAAGGAGCGTGATATGGCCATTAGAGAGTCCCGTCTGCAGGCACAGACAACAGCTGATCTTAGGGAACATATTAGGTATGCCAAATAACATACTATAGAAATGCTAATCATCTAGTTGTACCATTCTTCAGTCATAAAAACATACAGAATGGAGGAAGCTTTTCAATGTTTCAGAGATGTCTGGTAACACAAGGTTTCCTGATTTTGAGGTTGGAAAAAAATTAATTTATTTGTATATTTTATAACATTGCACATTGCAACAGAAATAGCATTTGCAGTTCATAGATTAAGTGTTTTGAAGACTTCCTGTAAGACAAGTTCATTGTTTATTGTACTCTACAGTACAGACAGGTCCCAGGTTCAAATCTTGGGCCACAAAATAGGTACTCAGACTGAGGTTTCTGTGGTTCTCCTCAGTCCTTCAAGGAAAATGATGATTCAGTACATTGAAATAGGCCCTGATCTACTCTTCCATTTAAAATTCATCCTACCACTAGACAGTAAATAACTTAATCCAGTGACTAATGAGAGATCAGTCACATGTCCAATCAATAACTCTATTTGCTCCACTGGTATCCATTATGTTTTTAAGGCATCTGACCAATTAAATACGGGTATTTATGTGTTACAATAGACATTTCCAGGATAAAAGGACAAGAAAACTAAGATACAATCCCATATACACACACCAGAAAACTATACTAACTTAATTTTCAGGAAAAAATCAATTGCACATACATTTCCATTTCACTTCATAAGTATGTGCATATTCTGTAAAGAAAAAATTCCTATTGTCTTCTTTTTCTTCTCTAGATGCTACACAGATACTTTTATACCCTGGTCTGTAATTCACTTCACTTTTATGTGCCCTACAGTTGTTCATTCATTGTTAAGTTTTTCATCCACTGTGTCTGCATTACTGCATATTTTGATTGGAATAAAATATCTGTATTTGTTTCCTACTTCTCCATTGTCAATTTTCTTTCACACTTCATATGCACATCCTTCTAGCAGCATGTCATGATGTAAAAGTTATCCCTGTAACGGGATATGAAGGCCCATAGTGTTGTGAGGGGTTGATGCTCCCCACACCTTCTATACAATCGGCTCACAGATGGCAGTAAGGTTTGTGTCATGATGCAGATCTCATAATTTTCTAACATATTAATTCTGTATGCCATGTTTTTGCTTTAGCTTTCACTGATTCCACACAGATTTTAACCAATGTAATTTTTCTTGTATATCATTATCATACAATGGTGGTTAGAGTTTCTTGTCTATGTGCTCAAACAAATTTACTATGTAAATTTGTCTGTTGATCACAACAATTACACACTTCCAATAAATAACAGATATGCTCAGATGTTGATAAAAACAGTTAGTTTATTAAGATGTTATTTTTTGCTACCAAGGAATAGGTCTATGTCTGAGAATTCTTGTGGTCTTTTGTAACAAGCTTATTTTCTACAGTGAATTGTTAACCCCACGCCCCCTCCCCAGGTGGAGGACAACCCCCTGTCCGCTGTCGGTCACTGCTTATTTAATATATTTACAGCTGGCTGACTGACTGTAGTAATTATTGTGGGATATCACTGCTATTAACTTCATACAAAATTTTATTGAATATTCTTACCTCAAGTTTAAATCCATATATAGATTAAATTATTGGGAATCATCAGTGTGGGTTTCAATATAACAGATCAACTGCTGATCAGATCTTTTTCATTTGTCAGATACTGGAGAAAAAATGGGAGTACAATGAGACAGTACATCAGCTATTCATAGACTTCAAGAAAGCCCATGATTCGCTTAGGAGGGAAGTATTGTACAATACTCTGTTAGAGTTTCGGATACCCATGAAAATAGTCAGGCTGATTAAAATGTGTTTAAACGAAAAGTATGGTAAAGTCCGTATAGCTAAACATTTGTCTGATAATTTTCCTATCCAGAATGGTCTAAAACAAGATGCTTTATCACCACTCCTTTTCAACTTTGCTTTAGAATTGCGATTAGGAAGGTCCAACAAACCAGGTGGGACTGAAATTAAATGGGACGTATCAGCTGTTGGCCTATGCCGATGATGTGAATCTACTGGGTGATAATGTAGATACCATAAAGAAAAAAACACAAACTTTAATTGATGCAAGTAAAGAGAAAACACAGAGAAAACTAAGTATATGTTGCTGTCTCGTCACCAAAATGCAGGGCATAATGTTGATATAAAGATAGGAAACAGATGTTTTGAAAATGAGGCACAGTTCAGATATTTGAGAATGACGATAACACATCAAAGCCTATTGAGAAGGAAATGCTTCAAATGGATCTTAGAGAGATAGGATGGGATGGGATGGATTGGATTGATCTGGCTCAGGATAGGGATCAGTAGAGGACTCTTATGAACACAGTAATGAACCTTTGGGTTCAATAAAGTGCTGGGAAGTTCTTGAGTAGCTGCACAATTGGCAGTTTCTCAAGAAAGGCTCAGCTCCATGAGTGAGTTATTTTTTGCCACATGTTTCAGTCACCTAAAACCATAATCAGGCATTCATAAACAGTAAAATGCATCTATGTTTGTTACTAGACTGAATGTCACAGCTGTATTTTAAAGTTTATAAATGCCTGATTATGGTCATAAATGACCGAAACATGTGGCAAAAAATAATATCTCAATAAACTAACTGATTTTACCAGCATCTGTTCCTATTATTTATTTATTGGAAGCATAAAATTGTTGTGGTCAAGAGAAAAATTTACATCGTAGTGACATACACAACACGATGCAAAACATACAAATAAAGATCAGACAATTTTGTTGGATTTTAGGAGAACCTTATCACCAGAGACATTTGACCGAAAGGCAGCACGGGTTGCTCTGGAGATGAGAATTGCTGGTCGTCCTCCTACTGCAAGCCCTCCAATGAACAGATCTCACATCTTCCTGGGCTGAATGTTATTTTAATGCTCTTGTATTTGGCTTTGTTGCTATATATATATATATATATTTGCTATGAACCACTGATTAGATAAGGAATAGGAAATATTGTCTAGTTACATCTGGGAAAACAATACAAACAACTGAATGATTCTCTACCCAAGAAGCTGTAAGGATGTGGTGGTTTGTGACTTCTGTTTTTATGTTAAAGGTGTTGGTAACATGTTGCGGTAGGTAGCCTTGATAAAATAAGAAATTAAGAATTCCCGATAGTTTCATTATATAATAGGTGCCAGGGTAGCATAGTGTGCATAGCAACTGGCTACAGGCTGGATGACCAAGGAGTTGGAACTCAAGTCCCAGTAGGATCAAGAATTATCTCTTCTCCGCATCGTCCAGACTGGCTCTGGGACCCACCCAGTTTCCTATCCAATGGTTACCAGGGGATCTATCCCCGAGAGTAAAGCTGCCAGGGTGTGAAGCTGACCACTCACTTGCAACTAGTGCCAAGGTCATGAAAATGTGGATCTATATAACCACTCCCCCATACCACAGGGACAACTTAATCTTTTTTCACCTTCATTATACAATATGATGAAACCTGCTTATTTTTTTTATTGCTAGTGGGGTGGGACTAAGTCCCTTGCACTGCAGTCACTTCTGGCCTATTGTACCAGCCCCAGATGATAGGTGAGGGTGATTGTGGAGCAATTGGTGGAATGAAGATTGGCAGGCAAACCGAAGTACTCGGAGAAAACCTGCCCCAGGGCCATTTTGTCCACCACAAATCCCACTTGACCAGACCCAGGATCGAACCTGGGCCACTGTGGTGGGAAGCCAGCGACTAACTGCTTGAGCTATGGCGCGGCCAAACCCTCTTATAATGAAATCCAAAGGTACCAGAACATTTTTACATTCCAGACAGCTTTCTATTCAAGACAAGTATTTACTACTAGATTAAAGAAATGTATGCCACATTTCCTCAAGCGTCATATAGAATTACACTAAATGTCACAATTTACACAAATAATCACACATCTACCTGATGACAGCTCTGTGTCACTGAAATATGTCAAAGTTTTGCAATTACCTGTGAAATTGCATTTTAAGACTATTTCATATACATAATGTCCAATTTATCTTGATGACTTGAAATAACTGTTTTATTTAGCATGAAACATTAAAATGTTTCTGAAGAAGTTGCTCATTTTGAGGGGAACACATGTTACTGTATACAATTTGTTTGTAAAATTTGTTGTTGATGAAATATGAAGGTCACTTGACAATCTTGTAAATAGTACTCTGTACTTTTTTTACTTAACAAATTTGAAGCTATTATCACAAAGTACCATTCTGATTATGACACAAAAATATGCAAGGGATTTTAAAGATCTGAAATATCAACCTGAATGAATAACTTGATATTTTGCACAAACAAAGGACTTACCAAATGATGCTCAGTCATTGACTATCAAAGATAATGCAGGGTTGTAATCACTGGATGAATGACTGCCTTGATCGTTCAGTTACTTGTGGATCCCTGGCAGCACAATCATCAATAATATATTGCCACAATTTTCCAGTTTTATTGGAACATCCTGGAACACAAAGCTCTGTAGCTTTCCCCATAAAAGAATAAAAAATATAGGATATCATTTGTGATCTTGATATCTCACTAATAAGAAATATTACAAACTGTACATGGTATAATGTATGCCCCTTCAAAGCAAATATATACTTTCCAGTGTTACAGAGCTGCACATGTTTTTAATTTTTTTCCTTTCCTTTTTTTACTCATTTACTTTCACTTTTCCAGCTGTTTTAAAGCACTGTACATTTATTTTCTCAATAGTTTGGCTTCATTGTTTCCTATTTATAATAAGATTTTTTCTTACCAGATATATTTCAAGAAGTACAATGCAAAAACAGAATCATATGAATGGAAATCAATATATATCTAAGCACACAAATTTCTGTTAAATGCTAATGTTTCCATTACTATTTTTGTGTTACGTATTTCAACATATGGGAAGTGTCTTCACGTTAGGCTGCACTCTGAATACAATTTTCTGAAAATTCCAGTTTTTGTTTAAAGTTCTGATTTAGGTAGACTTTTCAGTACAATATATATGAAAAACTAATTATTCTGTCACTGACTTCACCCTGAAAATTCAGATTGCATTATCTCCGAAACATTAGGAAACCAGCCTGTCACAATATGGTTTGAACATCCAGAATGTAGGTCCATGACTAAGGAGGTTCATACATTCTAACAATTAGCCAAGACACTACACCCTAACATTCATCTCTTTCTGGCAAGTTTTTCCATCACAACAGTTATTTAATTAGTTTATTGCTACAATTACCAGTTTCTTGTCAAGAAAAAGAAAAGTGGCATATTCACAGGCAGTTCTTGAACTTGTCATATCAGGTTTCACTTCTGGAGAAGGTTCCATTGAGTTGAAACAACATAAAGGAGGTTTCATTTTAACATAGAAACAATGCTAAAATGAAGGGTTACATTCCTGACCTAAAGAAAAATATATAACTTTTTAATAAATATGAATACAAATGAAATATTTAATAAACTCATGTGTGCACACACATACACACACACACACACAGTTTATAATAATCTTCCAGCTTTCATTTGTACTAAATATCTTCAATTAAGGAGAATTGTTGTCCAGTATTTCCAAATGTAAAGAAACTTTGTCATCTGGATAATGAAAAACTTTCTCAGATTTTGTGTCATTCCTTTAAGAAAGCTTTTTGGAGAGTTGGGGCCATATGATAGCTTTTTGAGGCATGCATCCTGGAAAGTCTGTTCAATTGCTCTCTTCTTCTCTTTGTGAACATCCTTATAGCAAGCATGGGCAACAGATCCCTTGCTCCTAATCTGTGTCATGCCTTAAGGAAATGTTTAACAACCATTAGGATTACAGTAGGAAAGACAGAAATTGGTGACTTACACAAGTTCAGATAAAAGTTGAACTTATTTCAATCACGAACTGCCTGTACATTCTTACTGAGGTTACTGCTTTAAAATCAGTAGTAGGAAATCATAGACCATTTATTTAGTGATAAGTATTATATATCATCGTTTTTCAACCAGTGGTTCACAGACTGTTGCCAGTGTGAAGTCCATAACTTTCTTGTTTTCATTAAACTATACTACACTGATAAATATTACTGTTTTAGAACCAACAATTCTTTTTCATTTATAATTTCCTTTATTCACTATATGGTTTGTGTTAAATGTTTTTCCCCCCTTTGGTGTTTAGTTTTGTGAATGGCCAAGTACTTAGGAGAGGTGGAGACATGTTACAAACTCCATATGAAAGATGAATTCCATATACCCTGGTACAGAGTTTCCAATTGTGAATGTTCAGGTTTGTGACTATGACATCTCTTCAGTTTTATATCAAAACATAAGGGGCATTTATTTTCATAATGTAAATAAACATATTTAGAAATGACAGTACTAATTATGCATGTACACTGTTATTTATACTGTACAATATGAGACAGAGAGTTAAACTCCAGTGATGTGTAATTTTTATAATGTAAATAAGCATATTTAGATTTTATAGTAATAATTAAGAATTCTGGGAAGAACTAATCACCTACTTTCCTTTGATATGATATGGCCTGCATAGAAAATGATATGTCCAACAATTCTTCTATTTTTGCATATGTATTCATTGCAGCAGTAATGTTGTTACCAAATCGTTGCCTAGCAATAATAGGGGATTATACATAGACAGACAGACACACAGACTGAGAGGAGGGATTTATAAAGTATGCTATTGAGATGGGTTCAGGTGCCATGACATACATACCAAGTATAAATAAAGATTGGTTCAGGCATTCAGAAGTTTATTGGGGGCAGGACATTCACAGACACAGACGGTACGGTGATCTCATAAGCATACTTAAATTTTTTTTTTCAAAATAAGGAAAACAGGCTAAAAATGTAAACCAGTATTTATACTGTATAATGTGAGGAAGAGAGGATACCTCACTGCTCTCCTAGATCAGTGATTGTGACACTTGCCTAGTACAAAGATCACTGCAGCAGGGTACACAAACCCTCCAAACTGCTATCTTGCTCACTTTCATCCTGAACTTAGTGTGAATAATTACTCTATGTCTGACAGGACACTAATGTATTAGTCTATGTTGCATTTAATGTGGCCTGCAATAAATGTAAAAGCCATCTCCCATGCTTTACAGAGTGCAACATAATATGGCATTTAAATAGGTTTTCGACCAGAAAAGACTTCATTTGAGGTGTGCAGCAAAGCATTAACATCTAGTTCTGTCTCATATTGAATCTCATAATTAAGAAATGAACAAGCATGGATAAAACCCAAAACTAGCAAAAATGAAAGAAGCTCTCTAAGTATGAGTATAAACAATGAAATAAAATATGAGGTTGTGAAGGCAGTGACTACCAGGAGTATTATCTTCAGGGATGTGATGCTGTATAGTCTGGTAGAAGTTACAGACATTCCTACAAAACATCTGGAAAGTTCTACCAGACTACACAGCACTGCTTATGCCAGAAGACGGTACTCTTCACTACAACAGAAGTTGGTTAAATGTAAGATAGTGGCACAAACATGTGTCCAATATGGACGATACCATAATTATTTTGATAGATTAAAAAATATTGATGCTGAATGAACAGCCATTAAGGAAACAAAAGGAGACAAAGTGAAAAAGATATAAAAGAGAATATGAAAAAAGTTAACACAGATACAAGACAAAAGCTTAATGGACAAGTAAGGAGGCTTTTATATGGGATAAACAACCTCAGCTGTATTGGGTTCTTAACTGGTTAACATATTATAATTTCTTGGCCAAACACAGATAACTAACTAATGCTTCGGTTTATTATCACAAAGTCTGCTGCTAACTGCCATTCTCTGCTATCAGTTAGCAGCACTTCCCCTCTTTACTCAATATTGCTTAGGGGATGATCACTGCATTTGTCTCTGGTTCAGTTGTTGTGTTCTCAATGCTCCCTTGGTGACAGGTGTCTAAGCTTTGAGCATTACTCAAGATAAGACTAAATCTCCAAAATAAATATTAAATAACAATAAATAACACCAAAAGAATAAAGCATAATAATTACCATAACAATAACATAATAATTTGACCATTAATCTCCAACATTTGCAAACAATAAGAATATTACAAAACTCTGTGCATATGCTAACCCATTATTGCAATCGAACAGAAACATAAATGGGGCAATGGAAGCCTAAACACATACAAACAAACCCCAGCAAAAAAGAAACCCTCATCATGTTTTCAAACTCAGATCAGTCAAAAATGTGGCATACAAACCCCAGCAAGCCTAGCTGCAATGTGTCTCGCACTCAAAGGCCAGATGAGAACAGAAACAGAATTCCACCACCTAACTTGGTAGCCTTTGGCAAATGAAAGACAAACTTTCAGCTGCACGTTCTTTGACAGAGGGCCTTTACATTGTCAACAAGTGGAGGAAAGAGAAAATCACATGACTCATGGGATTATGCAATATTAGGAAGCAATGGCATAGATACCTTGGGGGGGGGGGGATGGAGGAAAGGATACCAGACTGAACTAGCAACTCTTCGAGCCATCCAGCTCAGTAAACACATTACTGCAGCAATGAATCGATGCG